GATTTTTTACCACGAGGTTTTTCATAGTAAGGTTTTAACGAGGCACATTATCTTTTAATGAACACCCAAGGGGGAGTGTTATAAAAATATATTATAGATGTTCATTTAGTACTCTGTTGTAAATAAGCTTCCTGAAGAAGCTTATCCATATGGGACTCTGTCGTAAATACGTTTATCTATTTAGTACTCTATAGGAAATAAGCCTCCTGAAAAAGCTTATCATTTCGGTACTCCATTGTGGATAAATATTACCTTCCGGTAGAAGATTATCTGTATCTAGTACTAGTAGCTTACAAGCAACTTACAAGCAGCTTGCAGTAGCAGCTTACAACCAGCTTACACAGCAGCTTGCAGTAGCAGCTTACAAGCAGCTTGCAGTAGAAGCTTACACAACAGCTTGCTTTCTTCTATAAATAGAGGAGATTTCAGTTCATTATGATATATGAGTTTAAGTTGAATAATACATCAATCTCTCTTTATACTTGTCTTTGATTTATTACTTTACTGTCTTTATTTATAACATATTAGTCTTTTTATATATCTTTGGAAACTGCACATGCAAAGTGATTATTACCCATCGATAGTAGGATTTTCATTAAGAAATATCAAAATATAAAATTTAATTATACTAAGAAGCCAAGCGAATTTAACATGTAATATTATACATAAAAAAATATTTACACTTCGTAATTTTCTAGCTAAGGCTAGTCAATTGATGATCCTTGCTTAAATGAAGGGGTTCATATAGCTGCTTTGTCTGCCTTTTCTTAGTCAATGAGGTACGACAGGTTCGACATCCACTACAAAAAAAAAAAAAAAAAAAAAAAAAAAAAAAAAAAAAAAAAATCTATTTTAGACAACTGTTTCTACTAGGCAGCGTGTGGAATAGTTGAGGGCGAACTTTTTTTTGGATATAATCCAATAGAGAGTTGTTTTGACCTCTACAAAATTAACACCTTGAGAAAACATGATGCGACAAGAAACATTAGCTGAATAGTTGAGATGTTCCACTACCAAAAAAGTGATGCCTTTCAACGAAATTGTTATAAAATAACGACTATAAAGTAAATAAACTAAAGACAAGTATAGAGAGAAACTAATATATTATTCAATTTTCAAACTGATATACATAATGAACTGAAATATCCTATATTTATAGGAGAAAGTAAGTTGCTACTACAAGTTGCTGTGTAAGCTGCTTGTAAGTTGCTTGTAAGCTGCTACTGCAAGCTGCTAGTTCAAGCTGCTGTGTAAGTTGCTTGTAAGTTGTTACTGTATCACATATGGATAATCTTCTACCGGGGATAATATTTATCCATAATGGAGTACCGAAATGATAAGCTTCTTCGGGAGGCTTATTTCCAATAGAGTACCAAATAGATAAACATATTTACGGCGGAGTCCCATATGGATAAGCTTCTTCTGGAAGCTTATTTACAACGGAGTACTAAATGCACATCCATAATATAATATATATTTATAACACTCCCCCTTGGATGTTCATTAAAAGATAATGTGCCTCATTAAAACCTTACTAGGAAAAACCCTATGGGAAAAAATCCTAGTGAAGGAAAAAGAGTACACATATTTAGTAATACGCATTGCTAGGTGCCTCATTAAAAACCTTATAAGGAAAACCCCGTGGGAAAAAAACCTTAGTAAGGAAAAAAGAGTGTATTGCGTATTTTACTCCCCCTGATGAAAACCTTGTTTCAAATATTTGAGTCTCCGCATCCCAATCTAGTATATCATCTTCTCAAAAGTTGAAGTTGGCAAAGATTTAGTGAATAAATTTGCCGGATGTCACTTGAACGGATTTGTTACACATCAATGTCACCATTTTTTTGAAGATAGTGTGTGTAGAATAATTTTGGTGAAATGTGCTTTGTTCTATCTCCTTTTATAAATCCTCCCTTCAATTGGGCTATGCATGCATCATTGCCTTCGTATAAATTGTGGGTCTTTCCTCACATTCCAAACCACATTTTTCTCGAATAAAATAAATTATTGATCTCAACTATACGCATTCCCAACTTGCTTTATGAATAGCTATTATCTCAGCATGATTTGAAGAAGTAGCAACAATAGATTGCTTCGTGGAGCGCCAGGATATGACAGTACCTCCACATGTAAACACGTACCCGGTTTGAGATCGGGCTTTATAGGGATCAAATAAATAACCTGCATCTGCATAACCAACAAGATTTGCACTATCTTTGTTAGCATAAAACAAACCCATATCAAGAGTTCCCTTTAAATATTGCAATATATGCTTAATCCCGTTTCAATGTCTCCGTGTATGAGAAGAGCTATATCTTACTAGTAAATTAACAAAAAATGCTATGTCAGGCCTTGTAGCATTAGCAAGATACATATGTGCACCAATTGCACTAAGATAAGGTATTTCGGGACCAAAGAGTTGTTCTTCCTCTTCTGGAGGTTGGAACATATCCTTATTCACTTCAAGTGATCGAACAACCATTGGTGTACTCAATGGGTGCGCTTTGTACATGTAAAAGCGTTTTTAAGACCCTTTCTGTATAGGCAGATTGATGGATAAATATCCCGTCTGCTAAATATTCAATTTGTAGACCAAGACAAAGTTTTGTCTTTCCAAGATCTATCTCAAATTCTTTCTTAAGATATTCAATTTCCTTTTGGAGCTCTTCTAACCTTCTTTCAGCAAATATTCATTGAGGCGATTATACCACATGCGCCCAAATTACTTTAAACGGTACAATGGCCTTTGTAATCTGATCGAGTACATTTCTCGAGACTTTGAACTATATGCTTCATGCATTTTAAATCCTTCAGGGATATTCATATAGATTTAATCAAATGAGACATATAGGTTATGATTTGCATATAAATGGCATGCCATCTTCAGGTGTCTGGACTACAGGTCCGATCCTCACAATCTTTATAATATTGGCACTATATTGTATCAAATATATCGTGGATGATCATTTTGTATCAGTTCCTAAGCGACATAACTTGTTGAGATCTCATCACTTTCTTTATTTTCAGGTACCTGAACTTCTTCTGAAGTTTCATGAAATGTTATGTTGTGGGCTCTTCTAGAGCTCATTTTCTCCTCATTGTGATCATTTGGTCCTATCATTTTTCAAGGATTGTTACCTTTGGAAATGATCGATTTACTACGCTTCATGCGTGTAGTAAATTTGATCCTTCAGGAACTTCAATATTAATAGGAGCATTTGTAGCTTAAATATGATATTTAATTTTGTATCAGCAAATGCTTCTGGCATTTGATTTGAATTATCTTCTAAGTGAGGATCATATAACATATTTTCCAGCTGTTTATTCCATCCCCCGAATGTTATAAAAACTAACATATATCCCCAATCTTCTTTGGGAAACCTATCTTTGTATATTGTGGTAGAGAAATTAATCATATACCACACATCAAAAGTTATTAGATAGTAAAAATATTTGGTTTCTGATCCTAAACCAATTGTGAGGGGAGGACTTATCATATATTGTTGGTCTAAGGTATACAAGTGTTGTTGTATACAATTTAGAAAATCTTAGACCAACACATGAAACTTTGTTCTCATAAGCAATAGTTTAGCCATTAATAAGAGGTATTCAATGCTAAACTACCTTGGATATAAACCAGCATCTTCAAGATGAACTATCTTGATTTCATAATCTGAAAATTATGCTCTCAATTGAGAAAAGCAATTTCAAATGCCAAACTGCAGGTTAGCAATAAACACACATGTAACCATCTCATATATGTATCTATAAGTGGTTCACATGATAGGTGAATGAGCCCATATTCACCTTTTATATATTCCAGAATTCAGGGGTCTTAGTCCCAACTTTAGCTGGTATAATCAATTTATTATGAGAATAAACAACACAAGAGAATTCTTGAAGAATCTTCTAGTTCTTCAGTATATGCTTATCTAAATTCTCATACAGCTCATTTAAAAATGGCAAATAAAAACTTCAAGTTTATAATGTCATGTGCTATCTCTTAGTAAACTTCTAGTTTACTATGGTATAAACTTTTGCATTAGTAAACTTCTGAATTACTGTGACTACTTTTGTATCAGCAAATTTTTGAATTACTGTAGCTACTTGCCTCAATAACACTTCTGATTTACTGTGACTGCTTTTGCATTAGTAAACTTATGATTTACTGTGATGCATGATGTAGTACAAATTGAAGAATAAAGCAGATAACTTCTCACATATATATTATTTTACCCCCTATGATTGTGAAAACATGAAGATTTTCAATCTTCTAGTCATTTGTAGTCTCAATATGATGGCCATTTGTATTAATAAACTTCATGTTTACTACAACATATGTTTTGACCATAATCATATAATATGAATGACATATTTATATATAAGCTCTTCGAGAGCCTTCATTTATTATCGGCAATCTAATATTTATCAGACACTACTGGTGTCATGTGTCTCTAGACAAACAATTAGCTCTTCAGGAGTTGTTGATACATTTTATATTATCAAATATTGCTCAGACATTTTTGGTATCATGAGAGAAAATCTAGTAGATAAATGATAATCAAAAATCGAATAGGTTTAAAACTCTACGTTCGACGAATAAAGAATTGATAGTGGTCCAATAAAATAAAAGCATCTACGTCAATTCATACCCATTACAATTTCATTCAATTAACAATTAAGAAGTATACATAAAAAAATTGAAAAAACTTCTTTTTTCCAATCTAGTTGAGGAGTTCAAGCAACGGATTCAGTACACAGTAAGCATATTAGGATCTATTTATTCATACAACTGAGGAAAAGGAAGCTTCTCTTTCTTTTAATTTGACGGGCAGAAAACAGACATTGATGTATGAAGCAGAGAAAGAAAGAGACTTTACTATAGCACTAATTTTTCATAATTTGAGGTACTCAGAAAAGATGAAAGATTGTACTCAAACATACCATACCTTCTATCTCAGTATTAGTAATCAGTTCTTCAGTCACCTTATCCTTTTCTGTTTTTTCTAATCTATTTCGTTCTCTTAAAACTTCTTCATCTTTCACTGTATAATCTGCAAGAGAACAAAGAATAGATAAGTAACTTAACAGGATTCAACAACGTTTCCATCAAGTTCTATTTACTCTGTCATAATAATGTTGTCCTTTTCAGTTTTTCCCAAAATAGGTACTCGTATTAAAGAGGAAAGTTTCTCCCTCATCATTTAAACTGGTGCCAAATACATATTACATTATATTGTTTCAAACTTAACGTGGCATCTTACCAACTAACATTTCAACTTTTTCATATTTGAAACATTATGTTTAACACTTCCAAACAGATCCCACCAAACTGCATAAGACAACCTATCCAAATATTTCACTCTCAATAACAACAAAATATGTATCTTTAATGGGACATATCCAAGGGGACTTTAATTTAGTAGTCATATTAGTTATTATTTAGTTGTTGAAGAAATAGATGATATCATTATTTATAGAGAAAAAGTTGAGAAAGAAAATTCATGATTTAGCACGAACGCACAATTCAGGCAGATCAACAAGTGGAGCAGGTATCCACAAGGGAGTATTCTTGTGGGACGTTAGCTGCTTCACTGAAGCCAGCATAGAGGTGGATAACACTAGATATGACATTTTCCTTGCATTGTGATAACTCGACTTACCTCCCAAAGAGAGCTTTAGCGGCACATACATTACATGATGACATAAAAAGCTTATATAAGTGATTTGTCAGTATATAAAAAATCAAGGAGAATAGATATCTCATCAGGCATTTTAAAATTTTATGAGACCAAAAAGGAAGCCAAAATTTAATCTGCAGGCAAAAATCTCGACTTCTTACATGTGCAGCGAAAAGGTCTATGTTGCCCGGCTTTAAAATAAACTATTGCATGCTTTGCGCCACCTAAATCAATTCATTCTCCTTAGCACATATACTGTAATAGGATAGTGTCATGCATGAAACTCCACCTACCAAGAACACTATTTTTTTTTATATCATGTTTTGATATTATTTTTAATTTGACAAACTATGACTGAAAATTAACTCTCGAAATGGAATACCACTTTGAAAGATAAAACAAATCCCGAAACAAATATCATAAAAAATTGTATAGCGAATGCAACATCAGGATGATTAGCAGTTAAGCAGGTAATGACTTCCACAACAGAGAAACAACCAACCTACTCTGGTAGTAATTGCATCTTGAGATGACGATTTTTCGTCTGAGCGTCACACAAATGTTCCTCCTTCAATAATCTGTTTTGGTAATGCATCACACGTGAAGTTATTTTTAGGGTTATCATCAGTAAAGCTCTTACAAATTTGGAAGAGAAAATAACATCAGTTTTAGCTAAAAGTAAAAAAAATATTCAGTTATTTTGGGCATCATGTCAAGTACCTTGGCTGCATCAAAGTTGTTTTCTTTTAGCTATATCTTTTTTTCCAGATTGCAACTCAATGTGCTCCTGAATTCACACGAAATGAAAATGATTTGGACCAAACAATGTCCACAGGGACCAATTACATTATCGAGGCTCAATCTGTGTTTCTAATGGGGCAAAGAAGGATACCACACATATTTATCAAAAAAAAAAAA